TTTCTAATATCACTTTTAAGATGGGCCTAAATTGCTTTTCATCTTCGCAAATCGATTTCCCGGATGTGCGGACGCGTCGAAGTTATGACAAAATTGGCGGGAATATTTCTGTGTTGTTATTTCGCTCTTCAGTGGATTTTTTCCTTGTTATCAATTGTTCTAATATTATTAATATGTAATATAAATTCGATTTTTCAACAAATACTCGGCGCTTTCTTTCCTTTTCGAGCGGAGTATGGGTTTCCTGTGGTGGTACACGGAATCCAGGACGGAAGGACGGAAGGAAACGTGCGTACGCGCGGGAACCCTGTGTCGGTCCATGGAAAATCGACTCGATGGTATACCATGTTTTCTTAGCTATGGTGCTCCGCTCGCGCAGGCCTTCGGCCCGCGCGGGAGCTCCGCTACAACCAATATTGCTTGTATTCAAGAATTGTACTTATTGGTTTTTTCGTCGATTCGTTGTAGACCCCAAAAACCGTTTGGGTTGCGCGTTTTCCTACAGAATGACATATTCATACACATTACCCAATGGAACCCAACTGAATAAAGTCATATCAGAGCAGCCTCTACAACATCAGCAGTGCCCCAGATCAGTGGCTAAGTGCATGAATGTCAGCGTTACATTTACACTCAATTCAAGCATATCCAACATCACTGGGAAGTACAATATAAGGAGCTGTATGAATGCATCCCTTTGTAACTCTACAGCATTGACCAGGTTTTTGTCTGGAATATTAAGCAACTTCAATTTAAATACCAAAACTCTCAAATTCAGATGCTGCGACACAGATTACTGCAATACTAACGAAAAAATAGGTAAATCAGTTGTTTTTATTTTTTTCATATCATAGTTCACATGCAGGGCATGAAGTGTATGATTGCATATTATGCAAACTACGTTCTATATGCTACTTTTAATATAATAATATCTTCCAACCAAAACCTGTGTACTTGAACTCATATACGTCTATTTAAGGTACTACACCTAGAACTACACCTTTTGGGTTTAACACCACACTGGCTCCAACATTTTATACAACAGGTAAAAGATTAGTTGAGTCAATATCACGAATCATTTTATTATTATAATTATTATTAATCCTTTTTAATAATCACGCCGATGTACTATCCCTTACATACAGCAATATGCAGAATTTATGTGTTTTTTAATAATATATCAGGTATACAGCCTTTTGCACAAATTATGAGACATTTTTATATATATAAATATACCTAACCAAATATCAAAACCAAACCAAACACCCAAGAAATTATGGGATACCGTCGCTGATATTTTGTCATGATTGCCTAGCATCAGGTTGTTACAGACAAAATATCAGCGACGGTATCCCATAATTTCTTGGGTGTTTTTGATATTTGGTTAGGTATATTTATATATATAAAAATGTCTCATAATTTGTGCAAAAGGCTGTATAT